TCTAATACTTATATAATTATAATTATTATAATTATATATAAATTCTATATAATTTATAATTAATATTTATTAATTTATTTATTTATTATTTATATTTATTAATATTATTTTATTAATATTAATTTATTATAGAATCTAATCTAAATCTAATAATCTAATATTTAATGTTCTAATTGAATGAACAAAACAAAATACAACAAAACAATCCAAATCCAAAACAATAAAAAAAAGAATATTCATTGAAGGGAAGTATAAATTGGTCAAAGAAAGAGTTTTTTTAGGAAAAATAGGAAAAAGATCTTTTAGATGGATCTCTTTCCTATTTTTTTTTACAATTCCCTGGTAATCTTTTTTACTTTTAGCCAAAATCGTATACTTATTTTATTTAGACCTTATTTGCATCTTTCTTATTTTATTTTGGATAACCTTTTTTTTTCTTTCTATATTTTTGTTCCGTTCCCTTAAGTAGATTATTTTGAACCGCACATACATTGCGGCGGGCTAAGCTAAAAACAACGACTATTTCGAAAACTAGTCAATGATGGCCTTCCATGGATTCACCTATATAAGCCGCAGCTAAAGTTGCAAAAATAAGAGCTTGAATACCGCTTGTAAATAATCCAAGGAACATGACAGGTATAGGAACCACTAAAGGTACTAAAGAAACAAGAACAACAACTACTAATTCATCAGCTAATATATTTCCGAAAAGTCGAAAACTAAGTGATAAGGGTTTTGTGAAATCTTCTAAGATGTTAATCGGTAAAAGGATTGGGGTTGGTTGGATGTATTTACCAAAATAACTTAATCCCTTTTTTGAAAGACCCGCATAAAAATATGCTACCGACGTAAGTAAAGCTAATGCAACAGTAGTATTTATATCATTTGTGGGTGCAGCTAACTCCCCATGAGGTAACTGGATGATTTTCCAAGGCAAAAGAGCCCCTGACCAATTAGAAACAAAAATAAATAGAAACATAGTTCCAATAAAGGGAACCCACGGACCATATTCTTCTCCAATCTGAGTTTTGCTCACGTCTCGAATGAATTCAAGGACATATTCAAAGAAATTCTGACCGTCAGTAGGAATGGTTTGTGGATTTCGAACAGCTATAATGGCTGAAACTAATAAAATAGCAATTACAACCCAAGAAGTAATAAGTACTTGGGCATGGACTTGGAAACCCCCTATTTGCCAATAGAAATGTTGGCCTACTTCCACAGCCGATATATCGTATAATCTTTTTAATGTGTTGATGGAACATAATAGAACATTCATATTGCCCTCTGAAAGAAATACAACTTTAAAAGGAATTATTTTGATTCAACCATCTCTTTTTCGGCTTGTCTACTTCAATTTTTGATTTTGAATACCAACTAATCACATAATATCTCCGGTTATTCTTTTTTGCGCGATTCAGTAATAGTATAGTAACCGATTCCATAAATCTATGGAGTTCCCCAAACCAAATAATTTATTTATCTTATCTTATTATTAATCAAAAATTTCGTATATAGCTAGAACGACCCTCACAAATTGCAAATACTAATTTGGTAAGAATTAATCGGATTGAAGCTATAGCATCATCATTAGCTGGAATCGAAATATCCGCGAGATCCGGTTCACAATTTGTATCGATTAAACAAATCGTTGGAATTCCCAAAGTGATACATTCTCGAAGAGCCGTATATTCTTCTTGCTGATCAACGATTATTACAATATCGGGTAACCCCGTCATATATTTAATGCCGCCCAGATATGTTTCCAAGCGAGATAATTGTCTCTTCACCATAGCGGCATCTCTTTTCGGAAGACAGTTGAGTCTCCCCGTCTTTTGTTCCGTTCTCAAGTCCCTGAACTTATGAAGTCTCCTTTCTGTAGTATACCAATTCGTTAACATACCACCGAGCCATTTTTTATTAACATAATGACACCGAGCTCTTATTGCAGCCCGCGCTACTGAATCAGCTGCTTTATTTTTGGTACCAACAATTAAGAATTGTTTTCCGCTACTTGCTGCATCAAAAACTAAATCACAAGCTTCTGATAAAAAACGAGCAGTTCTAGTAAGATTTGTAATATGAATACCCTTACGCTTTGCAGATATATAAGGTGCCATTCTAGGATTCCATTTCCTAGTACCATGGCCAAAATGAACTCCTGCTTCCATCATCTCTTCCAAAGTTATGTTCCAATATCTTTTTGTCATTTATCCCCACACTTTCTCTCTTTTTTTTTTCAAATAAAAAAAAAGAATTTGAAAAAAAGAGATCAGGTATCCTGAAATAGAAATAAATAATTGTTCCGATGGAACCTTCTCTTCTACCGAAGATTGGCCGTTGATACACGATCAGGCCATTCATTTTTTTCTATTCGTTATTATCTTTATTACTATTACCAAATAAAATGACCGCGTTGAAAGGAAAGAATCCGCTCTTAGGAATGATTAAATCCTCGAAATGATTGCTCTGATATATCACATAAATTCTTTGAAATGGAAAAATCAAATAATTCTCTGTGGTGGAACAAAATATCTCTCATTTCTCCCTCGAAAATTCTTTTTTTTTTCAAAGTAATCTTGTTATGTTGCCTTGGCCTTGAACGGTGCATTAATCTTTTGAATCCGGTACCAACGGGTATCGTCCCTCCTAAAACAACGTTCTCTTTCAGACCTTTCAACCAATCGATACGACCCCGGAGAGCGGCCTTTGCTAAAACTCGAGCAGTTTCTTGAAAACTGGCTTCGGATATAAAACTTTGAGTATTCAGAGATGTTTTCGTTATTCCCAATAATAGGGCTCGGTAACAGATCGCTTCTTCCAAAGCACGTCCCGTTCGTTCAGCTCGCAACAATCCAATTAGTTCACCGGGTGAAAAAACATTAGACATTCCATCTTCTGAAACCAATACTTTTGATGTTATTTGACGCACAATAATTTCTATATGTCTATTATGGATCTGCACCCCCTGGGATCGATAAACCTTTTGGATCTTATTAACCAAAGAAATACGACTTTGCGCTATAATTAGCTCAGCACCAATCAAGAATCCCCAGGGAATGCCAAGAATTCTTGTTATACGCTCGTTCCAACCCTCAACTCTCTTTTCTAGGTTCATCGATATTGAATCAATCGAACGCACTTCTAATACCTGTTCCACTTTTGGAAGACCCTGTGTTATATCACCAGATCTCGATTTTTCATATATAAATGTAAGTAATATATCTCCTT